TGATAATTTTAATTTTGTATTTGTAAATCAATGTATTTTTTGTATTGTTATATTTAATGGTAATTTATTATGTACTATTGTATTTCAATGTATTTTATCATGTTGTAAGCCGCCCCGAGGTTTCGGCAAGGGGCGGCATAGAAATGTTATAATAATAATAATAATAATAATAATAAAGCAGTGTTTTTCGACCTTTCCACAGCTGGGGACTGGCGAAAACAGGAAAACCACCTTGTGGACTGCTGAGGCAGAAACAAAAAGCACCACACACATAATACAGTATTCTGTGTATTAGTTAACAAGCAAAATACCATTTTTTTTAAAAAAACTCCAAAACAACCAGACACCAAGCAACAAAAAATGCCAGTAAAAGAACAAAATAATAAATTGGTGCAGTGTGGCTCCCAAGCCATTTCTCAGTTCCCTGCCACCCCTGGTGGCACTGCCCCCTCTGCCCCACATGCGATGCCAACCAAGGAAGAGGTGGTGGAACACAGCCAGCCCCTGCGCCAGTCTGCGGTGAGTGGGATGTGGCCCCCACACAGACGAGCAGGAAATCTGCGCGCCAGCACTGGTCCACAGACTGGTGGTGGAAAACCACTGTCCTGAAGGACAGTGGGCCTTTAAAGCAGGGGTCCACAGGCCTCTTAGGAACCGGGCCTCACAGCAGGAGATGAGCGGCAGGCAAGTGAGTAAAGCCCACTTGCAGCTGCAGCAGCTCCCCAGTGCCAGCGCCATTGCCCCAGCCCCACCCCAGACCCCCAGGCAGCAGACCCTCACAAGGGGCACAACCCAGCTCTCCTGTTCCTGTCCTGTTGCTATGAGAGCAGGAAAGCAGTTTCAGAGGTGTAAACTGAGCGAGGAGATTGGGGAGATTAGCTTTCAGATAAAGCTTTTATCTTGCAATTATCTAGCCTTGTTCAAGCACTTTACATGGAGTTCAGGCAGCACTTCTATTTGTAACCCTCCCATGTGTTCTGACTAGTAGTGCAAAGAACCTACTACCTGGAAGCACTTTGGGAACTTGCAGTCCCATTCTATGATTTACGGAAAATAAGTACTTTTGTGTAGATAGGCATAAGATTGGATTTTTACAGTTCACTGCAGTTGGAGCCTTCTGTGTTTCCAATGGAAACTCTGAAAGTCTTCCACATTCAGGGCTACAGGGATGGCACAGAAATACAAATCAGCAGATGAGTGGTGTGCTTGTGACAACATTATGCCTGCCCACTGCATCTCAAGAAGATTCTGTACATCTCAAATTGTAGAAAAATGCAACTAAAATGCTCAAGTAACTGGAGAACTTCCCTGTGAAGAAAGGTTACATTTGGGGCTCCTTTGCTTAGAATAAAAAGTGAGGTGTGGTGGGAATAATAGAGGTGAATAGAATGATGTAATGTGAACCGGAAGAAAATTACCCAGGGCATTCAATGAGGCTGAATGGTGGGCTATTCAGGATTGATAAAAGAAGGTATTTCTTCACAAACACATAGAAGTTCGCTCCTGGAAAATGTAGTGGCGGCTACCAACCTGGATGATTTAAGAGGAATTAGAGAAATTCATAGAGCAACTATTCTATCAGTGGTTCTCCAAGGATTCAGGCAGAAATTTCTTCCCATCCTTGGCTATCTGAGCTTTTTGACTGGAGATCCCAGAGTTGAACTTGGGACCTCTTCACATAAAACATTTCTATTATTTATTAGATTTCTAACCCACTCCATTAGCCACATGACTCCCTGGGCAGGTTACAACAAAGCGTACTCTGCCACTGAACTATGGCTCCTCCCGCTGCATTTACTGCATTTATAAATTAATACATTACTTCCAAAAGGAGCCTGTGTGAGCATGTGAATCTTTCATTGAGGACAGCCAGGTACTCCCCTCAGCCATTGATCTGGGAAGAGTACACAGACAATGCCAATCCTGTGGCAATTCCTGGCAGCCAGGCATTCCTATATGAATTCTGTTACTAGCTGAGCACTGTCTGTGAGCTATGGGTATAAACAGCCCAGTCCCATAGATTATGCTGATCACAGATGCAGTGCATGAGGCCTACCAGGACATTGCTAAATGCTATGATTCCCTCACCTGAAGAGTATTTTACAGTATTTCTCCTGCATTTGGGGACACAACTGCACCAGGGACTCAAGTGACACTGGCCACCTTGCTTCCACTGAGAGGATTCTTAGACAGTGTGCCTCAGTGTGCATTTCTTGCCCCTAGAGAACCCAGTAATATATGGGATTTCTAAGCTAACATTTTGTTGTATGTGTATAGCCATCTTCATGCATGTACCTTGTTCGTAGCAGTTGTGAGTGCGTGAACAGGGAAGAATAATTTTTCCCTACCTAAACTGAGACGTATGTCTTTTGGATGTCAACTGGAGACATAGTACCATTTCAGGCCATAGGTTCTGCTGTGTAACTTGGGTTGCAGAGGGGCAAAACTTTAGCACAGGGCGTGCTTCTCAAAGAAGAAAGACAGGAAGAGACCAGCCTTGCAGGAAGCTCAAAGTGAGGCTGAGGGCCAGAGAGGGTGATTTGTATATTGCTCTAATAAGGAACAGATAAAGACTGAGCCTTAAGGAGGAGTTTACTTGGGGCTTGGTTCCACACCTCTACACTGACAGGACCACTATTTCTTAAAGGGGCCCAGCATATTTTTTAGCAGTTTCAAGCTACAACATTGGAGGGATTGTGATATGTAAGTGTGGTCATGACTCCACAGATGGCAAGGCAACTTCCCCTGGATGCAGGAGAGCCAACCCTTGGGCTCCTTCTGGGGAACTAGACTCTGGGGATGTGGAAATCTTGTTACACCTTTCCATGTCTGAATCTTCTTTCTAACTCTTGAGCCTCCTTTGAGGATAAGGATTCAGGGTACTAGTCCATGACAGGTATCCATTTAAAATGGAGGAAGGTGCTGCAACTGGGGGACACTGCTGATATCTAGTGACAGTGTGGTGCCAGGTACTTGGGCACATTTTGATTCATATCTTTATTGCAGTTATTTCTGTTTTGTCTTTTAACAAGGGGTGAACACAATGGGATCTTGCAACAGAGCAACTACAAATTGAAACACTTTTGGCATCATAGTAACAAAACCTACTGAAGACCTAGCACAAAGTAATTTGTATTTTTTTTTTTTCTGTAACAGACTGAATAGCATTTGTTCCTGGAAACTTTTTTATTTTCTTCTAAATCGTGCATACTGTGTTAATCTTTGAAGTTATATGCAACTTCCAGGGAGCTCAGATTATTCCCTGAGCTTAATCCAGTGAGGTTTCTCAGCCAATATTTTACAAAATTTCTTACATAGATTAATAAGATAATTTTAGATCATTATCTTGAAGAGAGAGAATCTGGGTGTTTTATTGTTCCTTTGATGTAATCAGTTTTTTCAGTAAAGTAAGCTTTGTTGCAATGTCAGACTATTGACTGACTATTGAATTTAAGTGATACATGGTGAGCTGTGCATAAATGCAATGAACACTTGTTCAGGAGCAGGCGTTGGCTTTTTTCTTGGTAGCATTTGAATAACTGAACTTCCTGGAAATAGAGAATAGGATCTTTTTAATTATCTGGGTTTACACAAATGGACTCCTTCATGGATCACTGCCTTGTCGTGGCGAAGGGGCTTGTGTAGCTCAATGAAGCTATGAGCTATGCTGTGCAGGGTCACCCAAGATGGACAGGTCATAGCAGAGAGCTCTGACAAAACGTGACTCACTGGAGAAGGAAATGGCAACCCACTCCAGTATCTGCCATGAAAACCTCATGGGCAGTACCAAAAGGCAAAGAGATATGACACCGTAAAATGAGCCCCTCAGGTCGGAAGGTGTCCAATATGCTACTGGGGAAGAGCGGAGGGCTAGTACTAGTAGTGCCAGAAAGAATGAAGTGACTGGGTCAACGCCAAAAGGACACTCAGTTGCTGATGTATCTGGTGGTGAAAGG